GGGAGGAGGAGGGAGGAGGAGGAGAGAGCAGGAGAGGGAGGAAGGAGGAGGAGAAGGAGGAGGGGGCCGCCGGAAAGGGAGAAGGAGGAGTGGGCCGCCGGCGGAGAGGGAGGAGGAAGAGGGGGCCGCCGGCGCCGGAGAGGGAGGAGGAGGAGGGAGGGATCGACCTTGGGGTGGAGGAGGAGGACGGCGACGGCTGCAAGGGCGACGGAGGCGACAGAGAGGAGACGAACGAGAGAGTGAGGGGGAGAGTGAGAGGACGCGCGCGGGCCGATTATTTGGATAATGGCCCTTAGTGGTAGCGCTTGTCTCTAAAAAGCGCTACTGCTAACATCTGTAGCAGTATCGCTTTCTGAAGGAAAGCGCTACTGCTACAGATTTTAGCAGAAGCGCTTTCTGAAGAAAGGCGCTACTGACAAGGCTAAGAATGTAAAAAATATCAAAAATATATTGGTCTTCAATGATCTTTTTGTGTAGAATCTAAATTGTCAATATAAATCTTCCCCGATTTAACAACCGGCGAAGACTCCTATTGCGCCCACATATCCTACACATAGAGTTCAATGAAGACCAAGTGGTTGTGATGATTTGAGAAGCACCATATTTAAGGTGGTAAAAATTCTGTTCGCGGAGCAAGGTGAGACTAAACTTTGGTCTGGGAGGGGGACTTAACTTATCAGTAGCGCTGGCCGTGGAAAAAGCGCCATTGCTAAGATGCATAGTAGTAGCGCTTGCAAAAAGTGAGCTCTACCACTATCCCTAGCATACCTGGAATGGTCTGTCAATTGTAGTAGTATCACGTTTTTCAAGCTCAGCGTTGTTGCTATAATCATAGTAGCAGCACCCGTGCTGCCCAAGCGCTATTGCTATATAGCAGCAGCGCTTTCCTTGAACAAGCGCTACTGGTGAGCTCCTATGTATAAGCATTTCCCTAGTAGTGCATTCTACCTGCCTTAGGCAAATGAGGACGCCTTAGACAAGGTGGGAGGTTCAGGCGGGAAACAGAGATCTGGGACGGAAGAAAAGGGCGGGAAAGTCTGTTTTGGTGCCAACAGTTACTAGCAGGGAGAGAGAGAGAGAGAGAGAGAGAGAGAGAGAGAGAGAGAGAGTTGTAACCAGTTTCAGTTTCCCCCCACCCCCACCTCAGGCTGGATCTGAGCTTCTCCCATCCTCTACAGCAGCTTCCCCCACCTCTCCGGCAGTTTCCCCCCTCCTCTCAGGCAGATCCCCATCCCCCTCCTCTCTTGCAGTTCCTCCTCCCCCTCCTCTCCTGCAGTTCTCCCTCCTCCAACATAGCAAGCAAGCAGCACCTCTCCAAGACAGCAGGCAGCAGCAAGCTGTGTATTGCTATATGCCTAGTTGCCTAATGCCTACCAAATTCTACTTAATTCTGTTGCATAGAACTCTCTAAGGCGTCGCCTCGCCTTATGCCTTAGCGCTTAGGTAGTGAGCCCCCTCCCCCCAGCACCTCGCCTCGCCTTACCGCCTTAAAAACAATGCATGGCCCCCCCTCGAAAACCTAGTCGGCTTAGCTGCCGCCACATATTTTTTTAGGTTTTGGTGGGCCGTGCCCACAGGCATGGCTCCTTGCCAGCTTGTAGGTTTGTACTAAAAATTGTCGTTCCCTATTTCTTCAAAATATGAGAACTAGAATCGCCATTGCATCATTTGTAATAGGAGAAGTGTGTTTTTGTTTTGAACTTTTTTTCAAAACTCAAAATAAAGCATCAATACGAACACACATACAAAGAAACACACGAGCAAATAGTGAAGTCATACAAGAACAAAGCTATATATGTGAAGAAACAATCCATGTGGCAAAGTGAAAAGCAACTCAAACTCGATGAGAAAAATGTATGTGGAAGGAAAAAAACTCTAAACGATGGAGGAACTACAAAAAAGACCATATTTGCATCAGTTATATCTTATAACATCACAAAGACAATACGAAAGGTTCTCCAATAACAACGCCTCTAGGAAGGAAACGGTCCTCAAGCGCCATGAGTGATAGCCTTCTCGGTAATGTGTCTAATTGCTAGTTATAAATTTAATTTAAATTGCTATATATAGTAGCTCGTTAATTCTAACTGGATCAAGTGTTGGATTGGCTAAAGTGAGAGCATCTCCAACGAACGCACCAAAAGACACGCGCGCGCGGTAAACTCGGGTTTTAACGCGTGCGGCAACTTTTCATGCGCTTCAGCCGGGGCGGTAAACTACAGCACGCGGGAAGCGATAGCGCGCGCGCGGGAGATAGCGACAGCTCGCGCGGTAGATTTGGCGCGCGTTCCAGCGCCCCGTCACCACCGCGCCACCAGGCCGCCGCACCACCGGGGATCTTCGGGCTACGGCGGCGTTCGCGAGCGCCTCAACGGCTAGTACTCCGCCGAGATCCGGTCCGGCGACGTCCGGCTCGGCCTCGGCTCGTTCCAGACCGCTCACGGGGCAGCCCGCGCGTACGACGCGACGGCGTGGCGCCTAGAGAGGCCCCCGTCGCAGATGAACTTCCGGGAAGTCCACACGCGCGAACAGGCACAGGCCGTCGCCCCTTCGTCTCGTATGATCACGGACCAGGACCATGCGGACCATGTTCGGTTGCAGCGCCTCCTCCTCGTCGCCGAGGAGGACGTCGTCAACGAACGCGCCTACTGGGTGGAGAGGACGGCAAGGCGCCACGCGGAGCGGGCGGACCGGCGTTTTACCTATTTGTATCATCTATGCTATGAATTATGTAAAATATATTTGTATCTTTTTTAATATCTATGTGAAATTTATTTTGTGTCCAAAGTGCAACAAATATGGACTTGCGCGCGCGCTGTATTTTAGCGCGGTTGCTGGAACCAGCGCTGTGCGCCGCGCCAAATCTGACGATGGGCACGCAACAAACTACTTTTTAGCGCGCCGCGAATTGCGCGGCTGTGGTGACAACGTGAGGCATATACCAACGTTGGTTGGCAAGCAAAGCACCCCCAAGTGCACGTAACCGCAGCACCGGTTCAAAAATCAGTTCCCAGTTCAAGGGGGAAGCAAGGAATCCAGCCGGTGCCGGTCACAATTTGTTCATTCGCATGACCAATCAACTCAGGCGCGGTGTTCTTCACGATCGAGCTAGGTAGCACAGAAGAGGAGGGTTAAGGGTAGAAGCTAGTGTTCTTCACGTACTGGGATGGACCCAGCGTTGCACGCGGCTGCGGTGCAGGGGAGCGTGGCGAGCCTGAGGAAGCTGGCGGCCGAGCGCCCCGACATCCTTGGCTCCAAGACGCCCCAGGAGAACACCGCACTGCACATCGCCGCGGAGCTCGGCCATGCCGGCTTCGCGGAGGAGGCCCTGGGTTTGGACCACAAGCTGCTCGTCAGCAAGAACGCCGACGGCGACACGCCGCTGCACCTGGCGGCCAGGTCGGGGAAGGTGGGCGTGGTGGAGCTGCTCATCGCACACTCCTTCGCCACTGCGCGGGATGGACAGACCGGGGAACCTTCCCCGAGCACTCCTGGTAGCGCGGTGGCGCAGGGGCCTCTGTTGATGGCCAACAAGGCCGGCGACACCCCGCTGCACCAGGCCGTGCAGCACGGCTGGAGCGCCGTGGCGCTCAAGCTGCTGGACGCCGAGCCCAGCTGCGGCCACGCGCTCGACGCGAAAAAGCTGTCGCCGCTGCATATCGCCGCCCGGGAGGGCCTCGCGGACGTCGTGAGCAAGATTGTCAGCCATCCCTGGGTCCGTGAGAGGTTTGTACCCTCCGACTCTGTCAGCGGCACCGCCCTGCACCAGGCCGTCCTCGGCGGCCACAGCCGTAAGTATCGCCTTATTTTCGTTGATCATGTACTGTATCGTGTAACTGCAACGTGGCGAGGCAAGCAGGTGTGGTGGAGATATTGCTCGAGGCGACGCCGGAGGATCAGATCGGCTGACGGACTCGAGCGAGAACAACGCGCTGCACTACGCGGCGCAGAAGAACAGCGCCCGCGTGGTGAAGCTGCTGCTGAACCGGAAGGTGGAGCTGGCCTACAGGCGCAACCGCGACCTGCAGTCGCCGCTGCACGTGGCGGCCAACTACGGGTCGACGGAGGCCATGGTGGAGCTGCTGAAGCACTGCCCCGACGCGGCGGAGATGGTGGACAGCAAGGGCAGGAACGCCTTCCACGTCGCCGTCACCAGCGGCAAGGTGGACGCCCTCAAGCGCCTGCTCAAGCACGTCCGCCCCGAGGAGATCGTCAACCGCGTCGACCACGGCGGCAACACGCCGCTGCACCTCGCCGCCGCCCTGTCGCGCGTCCAATCGGCGCTGCTCCTCATCAAGGACCGCCGCGTCAACCCCTGCATCCTCAACCGGGACGGCCAGTCCGCGCGCAGCCTCATCGAGAAGCGCGGCGCCAGCGGGGAGGAGATGGACACCTACGAGATGTACCTGTGGAAGAAGCTCAAGAAGCACGAGGCCTGCAGGTGCCAGAAGCAGCAGCTGCCTCCCATCGCCACCTACCAGTCGCTGCGCGGCCGGAGGGCTGGCCACGACGAGTACTTCAAGCACAGCGTCGAGACCTACACGCTGGTGGCCACGCTCATCGCCACCGTCAGCTTCGCCGCCACCTTCACCATGCCGGGGGGTTACAGCCAGACCGAGGGCACGGCCATCCACGGACACACGGCGGCGTTCAAGATCTTCGTCATCTCCAATACAGTGGCCATGTGCAGCTCCGTCGTCGTCGTCTTCTGTTTCATCTGGGCGTGGCGGGACCCCGTCAAGTTCAAGCTGGACCAGCTCATGTGGGGCCACAGGCTCACCATCGTTGCCTGCCTCGCCATGGTCGTCTCCCTCATGACTGCCGTTTACATCACCGTTGCACCCACGGCAAGGTGGCCTGCGTACGTTGTGATCGCCATCGGAGCTAGCACTCCCGCCATGGTGTTCCTCATTCTTGGGAAAGAGGCATTGTACATCCCACTATAGCTACTACTCCTCTTCCTCTCTGAAAAGAAGACCTGCAGTTTTTTTTTAAAGTTAAACGATACAAACTTCAATCAAGTTTGTACTAAAAACTACACCCACTGTTCATCTAATATAAGATGTTTTGGTAATTCAATTTAAACTGTCAAAGCATCTTATATTTAGAAACAGAGATAGTATAGAAATTTGTTTTTATATTGTATATATTTAAATTTGTAGTTGTTGATGATTCTTTCCACAAACTTGGTCAAACTATTCATCATTTGACTCGGACAAAAATTCCAAACCCTCTTTTCAGAGACCGAGGGAGTACAACCAACGTACGCAAGCAACAACACATAGAGAGCAATTTCGATATCACCTCGTTTGGAAGTTGATATTAGGCCTCAATATTGGATATTGGCATTGGTCTGACCCGAATATCGCTGTTCAGATGGATGTGGTATTCGCGATTGGAAACCAGCCTGAATATTCGAAGCCTCCACGCTCGATATTGCCTACCCTTCCCCAATTCGGAGCCTCCACCCTCGATATTGCCTTGACATTCGCTAGCCAGAGCCCCTCCCCGCCAAACATACCCCCTTCGCCCCGCTCGAGGAAAAGAAAGAAGCGCAGGCGGCGGCGTGATTCAGGAGCTCCAACAGCGGCGCAGGTGAGTTCCATCCTCCTCCTCCTTCTCTATCCCCGGCGAGGCTCCGGACATCCCCATCCTTCTCCCTCCTCGCGCCAATCCTCCTGTCTCCCTGCCATCCCGGCGGAGGTGCTCCCTCCCCCCGCGGCGGCGACGGCGGCTGTCTCTTGTGTGCCATGGCGAGAGCCCCCCTCGCCCTCCCCTCCCAACCAGTGCTTGAACCCAATCTGGAACGCCCCTTGTTCGCTCTCCCCTCGGGCCAGAACCCTAATTTTTTTCTCTGATCTGATTTTTCTGTGCTTCTTGCAGGTCACTGTGTGAGTGTATGGATCCTTCTCAGTAGCCCGATTAACAACCCGATTCAAAGTGCTGCTGCTATATAAGTGTTGCTGCTCATGTGCAAGTGCAGCTGTTTTTCTACAAGTGCTGATGTGTACAGTGCTTCTGCATACATGATTCTGATGTATACATGTTTTTTTGTAAGTGCTGCTATTGTACTCTTTATATACAATTATTCGGAAAATGTTTGCATATTGCATATAATTTTCTAAATGTTCATCCTATCACAAATGAGCAATTCCAATGTAGAGAATGACCATCCAAACAAGGTTCAGAATTGAGCCTCTCACGCGAATTCCAAGTGTCAATTCTCTGTACATCCAATGTAATATCAAAGTCTGGGGAGATTTGACATTGGGCCAATGCAATTCCATGGCCCTGAATAACCAAACAGAGCATATGTGTTTCCTACTTTCAACACATTCCATTTCATAGATACTGCTTACTTTCTTTTTTGTACTCCGCGTATAAATTCGTTTGAAGTCAATCTATACAAAAGTTGACCAACTTTATATTAAAAAATATCAACATATAAAAACTAAAGGTATATAGTATGAAACTTAATTTGATGATGCATCTACTGATATTTAACTTCACATTGTGAATGTTGATATTTGCGAGATCGCTGCCAAGAAACAAAAGGTAGAAACACAATATGTTTTCTACCTCTTGACCATTATGTTTCTGCTTCATGAATATGATTTTTTTTGGACATTTCTATTAATAACAAGCCTTATTCCTCCAAATACCGGATTTGTTACTGTTTCTCCCGAAATACTCCAACCACTCCACGAACCCATTATTCCTAAAGGAGTCATGATGGTCAAACTTTATGAAGTTGGACTACAAACAAATTACAGACTAAAAAGGAAAAGGAGGGAGTACTTCCTTTGAATTTCATTGAATATATTTTTTCAAAAAGAGGGGATAGCTCGCGGACTCTGCATCGAGTGATGCACACAATCTTTTATTGATTATTTAAAAGTTCAACAAAAACTGCCACACATGGCTGCCACAAGGGCAAATTAATTTTTTTTAAATCGTAGGAAAACGAGCCTCATGCATCATAAATCCTATTAGTAGGTCGTCAACCAAATCGGTTAAACAAGTCCCGGGTGACCATCTCCCATCGGCTGCATCCAAAGACCATGGGTGTCCGATCCTTCTCCTTGCATAGTAATTGCCACATATGGATCCAACTGATGGCCTGAAGATAACCTGCACAATTTTTAGAACTTTCGTTCTGTTAAAAATACAATCATTATGAGTGTTCCAAATGGCCCAAAGTAAATCACAAATTCCCACACGAATACGAGACTTCAACTTTGGATGCACCCCTAGTAACCGTCTTCCATATTCATCCTACTCGTGGGTGGAGGTAGATTAAAAGTTATATGAACATATCGCAATAATAAAGTGGGCAGTGAAGGAATATATGTTAAATCAACTCCTCCTCACCACAAAAGCAAAATGCATCCTTGTCAACTCGTTTTTTTCAGATTATCTTTTGTCAGGGTGACCTTACGACCTAAAGTAACATAAATGTTTTTATTTCCAATGGGACTTCCATTATACAGATATATTTGTGGTGGAAAGGTTGTCAATCATGGATGAGTTTCATATACATGGATTTGACTATGAAGTTACGAGAATTCGTCTACTTCCAACGGAATGTGTCTGATTGATGTGTAAGGCTGACCATCATCGACCTTTCAACAATGTTTAACCAGTCCGTCCACTTTTTCCCTGATTAGTGGTCTTCTGAAGGCAACATTTAACAATGCCTGGCCCATCACAGAGGTAAAAGAGTCATCTATTCGTTGTACATATGGTAAAGTGTGGGTGTTGCATGGCTAGTTGCTTGGCCCCAAGGCATGAATCTTTCCAAAACCTGGTAGTTAGTTCATTGCCTACCACAAATGTCCCTCCATGAAAAGTCATTTTTACTCGGTCTTTCTAGAAAGGCAATTCTGTTGAGTTTTAGAATGAAGTACCTTGAGTTTTAGAACGAAGGTACTTCATTGAATATATACCTAGATCTAAAAATTTGAATAACTAAGGTTTCAAATTGATAAAGTGATTGATATATAACTGTTTCCCTGACATATGTGTTGAAGATTTCAATATATAGCCTCCTCCGGCACAACGAGCACAATGGCACATATCTAATGGCTAGGTGGACCACGTAGAGAACTACAGATACACCCAATCTTAAGCAGGTTAGCAAAAAACATAGCTCGGTCATTGTGGGATACACCATTAACATTGAAAGTACTCCCTCCGGTCTTTTTAGTCTGCATATAGATTTTGTCTGAAGTCAAAGTGTTTCTACTTTGACCAAATTTATAATTAAAAAATCAACATTCACAATGCCAATTCAATATTTTAGGTTGATTATGAAATGTAGTTTCATAGCATACATATTTTGTATTGTATATATTAATATTTTTTAATATAAATATGGTCAAGCTTTGCAAATCTAATACGCAAAGTAAAAAGGACCGGAAGGAGTACTACTGAGAGTTCATTAATTTGTCCACCAGCATTCTTACCCATCACTACAAAAAAAATACACTTCCGTGATGATACGTGTTTGTCAGAGTGGGTCACGTTTTCTGTCATGCATGTACATCCATGACGATTTTACGACAGAATCAAGATAGTCATACCTGTGCTGTCGTAGAAGTGTTCCATGACATTACCAAAACTATCATCACGGAACTATCCACTTCCATGACGATAAATCGCGCGTCGCAGAAGTGCTTTTGTCAAGGGTGACCGACACGTGGCATCCACCGTAACGGAACGCCGTTAAGCTATTGGGTCCCATTTTGGATCCGATAACCCGTTAACAGCCCGGACCAATGGCGATTTTTCACGTGTAAAATCATCATTGGCTGGAGGAAACACGTGTCAGCTCCCCGTTGGCACAGGTGTCACTCATCCAATGGCCGAGATGCGCTTATGAAATGTTGACACGTGAACCGGCCCAAAAGTGGCCCATAAAGTTTAAATGGGCCGTCCCAACTAAAGGGCCACAAGATTTTGCGGGCCATAATGGGGCGGCCCAGCTAAAGGCCCATAAGTTTTTGCGGGCCATAATGGGCCGGCCCAGCTAAAGGCCCGCGAGATTTTGCGGGCCATAATGTGCTGGCCCAGCTAAAGGCCCCCAACACTTTGCGGACCATAATGGGCCGGCCTAGCTAAAGGCCCACGAGATTCCGCCGCCCATAATGGGACGGCCTAGCTGAAGGCCCAAAAGATTTTGATGACACTAGTAGGCTAGCCCATTAACAGGCTGCCATGTTTTGGGCCAAATGCCGTCCCATATTTGATCCGGTCCATTAACAGCCTGCCACGTTCCGAGCCTAATAGAGGCCCATATGAGATCCGGCCCGTTAAAAGCCTCCCACGTTCTGGGCCAAATTACGGCCCAGATCAGGTCCGACCCTTTGAGAGGCTTTGGGCTAAATTATGGCCCATATCAGATTCGGCCCGTCAACTGGACGCTATGCTTTTGGGCCCACTTGATAAAGGGCCATTTAGTAATTCGGCCTGATATTAGTTTCAGCCTGTTAAAGGCCCGTTTAACATTTCGGCCCTATATATATTTCAGCCTGTTAAAAGCCCGTCATATAGTTGGGCCTAACTACGGCCCGGTTTGCATCCGGCCTGCTCACAGCCGATAATCTGATTGGGCCAAACAAGGACCGAGGCAATTTTGGCCTGTTATAAGCCAATGATTTGATTGGCACAATCATGGGCCGGGGTCTATTTCGGCCTGCTGTCGGGCCGTGAGCTGTTCGGCACGTTTCAGGCCCAACCTACTTTTCGGCCTCCTAAAAGCCCATTGAGTTTTCCTGGGAAAATAGGGTCGGCGGTTTACTCGGACTATAGTGGGCCAGTTTACATTTAGGCCTGTTAACGGGCCAAGATGACGGGGCCCATGATGCGGATCATACATAGTGATTTGCATGACGACCCGATTATGTATCGCAATTTTACGGTTTGGCCGGTTTACTACGAAGACAGG